TCCTTCTGTCTAGACCAGAGCTATGCAAACTGCCTTTGGTGAGTAAACACCTGCTACTGGTCCATGATGAAATAAGTTACAGAAGTGAACAGTAAGCATTTAAAAACTGGTATGGCAATATGACAAAGTGCTTTTTGTTTTCTGAATCGAATATTAAATAATACAGGTTTGTATCTTGTATGTTCATTTTTATATCTTTTTTTCAGTAATTCATTTCTATTTTATTTTATAAAAACATTAGCTCATGGTCAATGAAAAAAACCTGGCTTCTCTCCACAGGCTGCAGAAGCTCTGGTCAAGACGATCCTTCCATCCCCATCCTTAGCAAGAGTTACCAATTGAAACCATGCTCATCCTTCATGGTCCAGCTCAAATGGCACTTCCTCTGAGTTTTCCCTAACTGCACAGCCTAGAAACTGCTCACACATTTGTCTACATAACACGGTACTTGATTTAAAATACCACTGTGGCATTTACCATATTGTGTCTTCTACTACAACTACACATGTATCTTCTTTCCTAAGTTAGTCTTTGAAGGAAAGAAATCTTAGGCAAAAGAGATACTCAACAAATGTCTACTGGATGAAATACAGTTATTATAAATTAAATAAAAGGAATGGGGAAATGCTTTCCATTCTTTACATATGAATAAAGTGGGTGCTCAGAATAAAGTCTAAATTCCTTGCTGGGCACCTACCTGCCTCTTAGCCCCAAGTCCTTGTGTGCATTTTACGCTGAGTGGAATCCTGCTCACACTGGAGATCAGCCCTCAGCTCACCCCTGAGACCGCACAGTGTCATGCCTTTGTCTATGCCATGTTCTCTGCTGGGGCATTGGTTTCACTTTCCTTTAACTGGTGAATACTCGTGTATCCTTCAAGAGCCAGCTCATGTATATCCTTTCCTGAAAAATCTATCCTAGAATCCCTTTCCTCTGGCTTCCACCGCATTCTATGCATCTGTCTTCCTAGACACCTACCATACTCAACTGAAATGATCTGTTTGGGTGCCCGTCTTTCCCACTCCTCAAATGTATAGCCTTCTTGAGGACAGGGACAGTATCCCATGAATCTCTGTGCCCTCAGTGCCCAAGCACGTCACACATCAATGTTCAAAAACACTGTTTATCTCAGCCTAAGCTCATTTCGAATTACTCAAGGAAAAAAAAAAAGAACATAATTATTGGTTCATGGAGATATCATGCTAGCCAAAGCAATCAGAGAAAGGCTAATTTAGTTTAGCCTGAGAATGAAATTACTGACTGTAGATCAGCAAAATGCTGGAGAGAAGATATGATTACAATCAGTGGCTTTTTGTGGAACGGATATTTTCTTTTGTCAGGGAATGCAGGAATCATTCAGATTCTGAACCAAGTATAATTGAAGTTATGACACTCTATTCTAATAAGAAAATTTTTGCTATTGATTCATAAAAGGTCCAATAACCAGGACCCTACGATATCCCATATAGGATCCAGTCAAGAAGCAAAGGAAGGTCACCGGTGATGGTTATCTTAACTGGGAAGGCCAGGAGTTGCAACGGACGCATGTGTTGAAGCAGATATTAACAGGAGTGACAACAACATTCCCTTTCTTCACATCTCAGCCCTGCCGCCTGGAATCAGTGCGTGGGTTTGAAGCTGTACTTTGAGAAGTCATCTCAAATGATGATTTGCTAGTTCCTGGCCAGACGTTCTGCTGTTCACCAAGGAAACACCCATGGTTACTGGGATTACACAGCAACCTCAACACAGCTGGGAGCTATTAGTCAATCAGAGCCACGCAGGACTGGCAGACGGTGGCGAAAGGGGGACCAAACAAAGCCTTCTTGTTTTGGTTACAATCTAAAGACTCATATTCCACTGGAGGCCCTGTCTATCCTTGGCCAGTAGCTGTTTTTAACTAGCACTATCTGTCTACGTGGAGGACTAGAAGGCCCACCTGAGAATAACACTTCTGCGGATTTGAGGGAAACACTTGAAAATGCTATGTTGGCATCTGGATAATGATGCAAAATGCTTTACGAGTATATGTGAGAATGATTCTTCTTATAGAATTGTAGAGCTGGCAGCGGATAACAGACGCCTAATAGGTAACAGGGACCTGAGCTTCAGGCTCAGATGCCCGCTTCACTAGCCACATGACCCAGGCCAAGTCACATCATCTTTCTACTCTTCAGTTCCCTCAGTACAAAGCGGGAACAAAATAGCTACATTTCAGAAGACTGTGAAGATGGGTTACATGCCTCGGCTTCCTTATCTATCAAATGTAGAAAATAGTTCTTACTGGTTATCATAAGGGATTCACCAGCACAATGAATGAATGTAAACTATGTGACTGGGTGTCTGGCTTGCAGTCCAGGCTGACGAATATTAGCAAAAACTAGGGAAGTAATGATGAAACAAATTCTTCCGCAGGGGCGCCTGGGTGGCTCAGTCATTGAGAGTCTGCCTTCGGCTCAGGTCATGATCCCAGGGTCCTGGGATCGAGCCGCACATCGGGCTCCCTGCTTGGCAGGGGGCCTGCTTCTCCGTCTCCCACTCCCCCTGCTTGTGTTCCCTCTCTCGCTTGTGTCTCTGTCAAATAAATAAAATATTAAAAAAAAAATTCTTCCGCAGAGAATGCTACGTGCTAGGCATTGTTTAAACGGTTTGAATGTATCATCTGAGTCAATCTGCATAACTGCCCTATTATCTGTCATTGCATTTTACAGAACCCGGGCTGTCTGGCTCCAGAGCTGGTGCTATTAGTCACTAAACGATGCTGATGACAATGATGATGATGGAAGAGATCATGATAATGGTGCTGATAACGTAAGGCATCTAGTAGAATGTCTGGCACATGGCAATTGCTCAGTAAATGCTTGCTATTATTAAAATGCTTGCATATTTGGAGAGATGGTAGCTCTATATCCGTTTTAGGTTCTCCTCCAAGGATTACAACATTTTTATTCCCTTTCTTGTATCTTAAAACTCTTTCTTGCTATTATTTAAGCCTAGTTTCTCTTTTTCAGATTTCCAGGGAAGAAGAGAAAACGTCCTTGAAATAATTAGTTACTCTATTTGAGGATATCTAGAAAGTTATTAACCCCGATCCCCTTATGGTTTTTATATAGGTGCCAATTTCTTGTTTTCCATCGTGTTTGTTTCTTTTCTTTGAGCCCTTCACAGTTTTCTTTCACATCTCTCTTTGAGGATGGAAAGCAAAACTGGACACTGTTTCTGATACTGGTCGCATCACTGTGGGCTTTAGCAGAAGTCATTCCTTAATGGTAACCTTAACTCTAACCCAGGCTTAACGGGTGTCCTACTTGAAGAAGTCACAGTAGTAGGTCTACCTTTTCTTCCTTTGGCTGATCTGGTGAACATAGTATCATTTATCTTAAAGGGCTGATGTGAGGATTAAATGTGGTGATGTTTATAAAAGTAACTAAAGCCTGGTGCCCAATGAACACCAATCAAGACATGAACTAATACCAGATGAGGATTCTCATTCCTTCAATTAAAAATGTGTTCTCACATTCCTCTCTGGTACTGCCAATAATCTAATGGCCTATTTGTACACAGGGTAACACTCAATGTTGTCTGCATGTAATCATGGAAACCAGGGCCAGATTGTGATCTGGTCTCTGTGATTTTTTTAAAAAAGATTTATTTATTATTTATTTGAGAGAGAGAGAGAAGAGAGAGGGAGAATCTCAAGCAGATGCCCCGTTGAGTGTGGAGCCCGGTATGGGACTGGATCTCAAGACCCTGAGATCATGACCTGAGCCGAAATCAAGAGCTGGACGCTCAACTGACTGAGCCACCCAGGCACCCCAAGGTCTCTGTGGTTTTGATGGCCTTCTCCTTTGCCACCGTCCCCTACCACACACAGGCTCTTCTCAGTCCCACTGAACAACCTGCACTTGTACATCTTGTGTCCTATGTCTGGAACGCCCTGACTCCTCAACCATCTGGAAAGTCCTCAGCATCTTTCAAGTGTGAACTCAAGCATTACATTCTCCACAAAGCCCTTCTTCGTTCATTCCGTAGCATTGTGCACATACTTCTCTATAGAATCTAAGAAGTCATCTGCCTATTTGTCTTTGAGTTCCTTCTTTGAGGGCAGGGGCTGCATTTTATTTTTCTATCCCTAATGTCTGGAATGCATCAAGAACTTAAGAAATGAATGACTGACTAAAGCACTCATTCTTCAGTCTTAGCATGAGCACTGCCTCTCATCACCCTTATCTCCTGTGAACCACTTTGGCTCTTTTTCACCTTTTGCCTTGCCCTGGAGATCACCCAGAAGTTGCCCTCAATGCCCAGGGTGATAAGCACTGGTAAAGTGAGTGTCTTTACTGGAAAAAAGTAAAGTGAGTGTCTTTACTGGAAAAAAATCCAATCATTCCATGTTACTTTGTTCACACAATTTGCCTATGGATTTTTTTTTTTTTTAAGCAAATTCTCCAAATAGCAGATCTTTGTTTGGGAAATACCGAAGCATCTTAATCCACATTTTAAGGGGCAAGAGAAGTATTAACTGCTTCTGAGACAACCACGGTCTAAAACTGAAAAATGGCAGGCAAAGCAGGGGCAGGGGGAACATAGGAGGAGACGCCAGGAGACCCAGAGAATGCACAGTCTGGATGACCCAAAATGCTCTTCTGTCTCTATAGTCCATGACAGTAAAATGATTTGTAGGAAGAGAATTCTATCTGTGAATTTCTAGTTAAGGTGGGATGCTCATAGATCTTATATGAGGGAAATCAGGAAATCTAGTGTCTTCTAGGGTTACTGGTCAAATTATTGCTTCCTGGACAGGATAGGTGGGGTCAAATATTCTTCCTTGGGGAACTCACCTGAGAAGGCCATGGAGCGATCCACAGTCTTACTCAAACATTTTGGCATTAATATTTTCTGACTGGCTTAATAGGGTTTGGATAACTTTCTCTAATAGTTCTGGGATGGGTCCAACTTTGGGCCCAGATTATTTTCTTAGTCCACTGTTGGAGGATTACCTGTAAATTATCCAGGATGACTCGGAGTGAGTGCACCTGCCGTCGAACAGCACCTGAGAACCTTTCATACGTTGCGGCATCATACTCACTCATTTGGATCTCCTTTAACCTGAAACCGGAAGGGGTAGAAAAGATAATAGCTGAAATCCTGTACATGTGGTCTTTTACTTCCATTCATCTGCTGCTAGAACTCTAGCAAGGTCCTTGGTAACTGAGGTTGCCTTGGAGGAGAAAAGGCAAGAAGTAATGTCTCCAGCTAGGAGTTTCAAAGGAAGAAGATGTCTAGCGGTGGGCTGGTACATGGTGAACAAGGAGCCTTCTAGAACAAACAAAACAAACTGAACCAATCAAACAAAAAGCCCTGATGTATAGTATTTGCTGATTTCTACAGTGTAAATAGTCCCCTCGTGATCAATTCCAAGCTACTAACAGTAAGATCACCGAGCACTGACTTGGAAAGAAAGGTGCACAGTTGGCCCTCATGAACCCGTGAGTCAGCTCTAGAGCAAACTGTTGCCATATCCCAAAGACCTGTCACGATGTTGGCAGCTGGTCAGTTCACGGGGCAGGTTCCTAGAAGAGTTCTGTGGGCTGCTTTCAGAGACCAAGGGCAGGTATTTGGTTGACTAACATTAACAGCTCAGGCCCAAAGAATGTAATTTAATGTGTTGCTTTGTAGGATACAAGAGTTTTCTGAAGTTGCTGTGTGCTTTTAACAGGATGATTGTGTTTTCATATGATTGTGGCTTCGAAGTCCTTTCCTGCTAGTGCAGTGCTCCTTTTGATCGTTCTTCCTCATTAGCTTCCACTGCAGCCCCACCAGTGTACTTAGAGACCCCTGAACACGGCACAACCCCACCTCTCGGAGCTCCTGCCTGGGCTGCTCCCCCTCCAGGAACTTCCCTTCTCTGCCTCTTTGCCTGTAACTCCCACTTTCTCTTCAAGAGTCAAATCAATGAGGACCACCTCGAGGAAGCCTACACTGATCCCAGGTCTGTCTTCTTTGCTCTCAGAGCACGTTGTGCTTCTCACTATCAGAGCATTTCCTCCCCCTGCTATGCCCATCGGCTGCCTGTCTCCCCAACTAGGCTCCTTTATGAGAAGGATTGAGTCTCATTGTTATGTGTACAGTGCCCAGCATGGTACCCGGCACTTAATAGATGCTCAAAATGGAATGAAATGAATGACTGAAATAAAAATAAGACTCAGGATTATTTAAAATGCAGTATCTTAAACCAGTCATAAGGAGAAGGTTCATTCACTGAGTGAGGCTCTCTTGGGTTTTACAGGGTTGTATCCATAATATACTAACTTGATCAAGTGTTTCTGTAAGTTTCGATAAATGTAAAGGCGCTCATCCTCAGATAGGCACTAATGAATGTACATCAGCAGAGCCTAGCAATAACAGCACAGTCTTCTAAACTGCTGTGCGCACACACGCATGCATGTATGGGTGTGTGCGGTGTTGGGAGGTATGGATCCCAGATCCATAGCTGAAACTCTTATCTCAAATACAGATTTATCTTCTTGGGAACAGAAACCCCAAATGCTGAATGACAGTGAATGGTCTCTATTCCTCCATGTCAGGCCAAGCGCCGGGGAGAATCCAGCCAACACAGGGCAGAATGTTGGGAGGCTTGTCAGAATCACATAACGTTAGGCCCACACTGCCAGGGGCAGATCTGCAATTCCTGCCCTGCCACCTGCAGGGGTTGGCTAATACCAACTCAGCTGTCAAGATTCCGCTTGAAGTCTTGCTTGATCCCTCCAGTAAAACTGATCATTCCCATTCATGAATCTTCTGTAGATATCTACTATGAAACCTCTGCACATTATGGCTTTTGCTAGAAATGTCTATTTCCCTCTATCACAGTGCTTTTCAAACTTTATTTTCCACACAAGGAAATATGCTTTACACTGAGATCCAGTACACAAAACACATATGCACGTGTGTTTGTATAAATTAAACCAAAAATTCAATGAAACATACATTTACTACATATGATTTACTACATGGATATTTTCTCTTCTATTCCTCTGGGAGAAGAAGTAGTTTTATTTTTTCTTTGAATCTTCAGTACCTACCACAATGCCTGGCACATGGTAGCACTCAATAAACACTGTTAGATAACACTTTGAAAACACTGACTATCAAAAGGTAAACAATAGCTGCATGGTGTTTCCCAAGGTGACATGCCAAGGGGCCCTTCTAAATCTAATTTACTCTCTGTTCTGAAGAACAGCTAGGAATACGTGCACAGGACTTGACCTCCCAACAATACCTCGTATGTTTGGTTTTGGCAATCTCCTAAACCTCTCTATAAATTTTCATTAGATTAAGTTATGTCTCAAGTATCAAGGCTGACAGAAGCTGGGCACCATGAATATTGCAGGATATGCTACTTCCTCCCTTCATACACAGGAAGCTAATATGCTCTTTTCCAAAGAAGGGGGATTAGTACTTTTCCAAAGGGAGGTTAGAAAAAAAAATGTGGATACAGCTTGTCCTTAGCAGGAGGAAAAATACATACACGCACGGGCACACACACGCATCAAGAAAGGAATCAGGCAGTTGGTAGGTCACCTTGGGCAGACTGGTCTTTGTAGTGAGATCAGAATCAGCTCCATTTATAAGGCTACTTCTGGCACGATCGTATTGCACCCAAAAACACACCACATGCTGTTTTAATTATGAAGAAATCTGGAAACCATATTCCAGGTTGTGTCAGCTTTCAGAAAGATCACCTACAAGGTGTTCAAAGCTGATAAATTCTGAAAGATGAAGACTGACGCAGGGAATGGGGAAAGAAAATAGGAAATTTTAGCCTTTGGATCAGATAAGCTTCCTGGTGCTAATACTCTCAAAGCCCACAAGACTAGCTGGAAATATGTCTTTTTGCTGCTTTAACCCTGATCAAAACTGCAGGGCACAGCTGCTTCACATCCTAGTAATCTATGTGGACTAACTGCATTTTGTTGGCACAGTATACTTTTAAAGGGTGTATTTATTGTTATGTAAGAGTCTGGGAATTTTGGTTCTCATTTTACTTTTCTTATAGGTCAGGCTTAAATATTATAATTTTGGACCAGTTATGAGGAAAACAAACCTAAGCTGAGATCTACTGTGTAAGACTGATTCGTTTTACAAATGCTAGTAGGTATACCTTCCATTAGCTGACGCCTGCCTCGAACGCCCTTTTATTTATTTATTTACTTTTAAAGATTTTATTTATTTGACAGAGAGAGAGCAAGAGCGAGCGAGCGAGAGAGAGAGCAAGCACAAGCAGGGGGAATGGCAGGCAGGGGAGAAGCAGCTCCCCACTGGGCAAGGAGCCCAATGCGGGGCTCGATCCCAGAACCCTGGGATCATGACCTGAGCTAAAGGCATCGGATTAACCGACTGAGCCACCGAGGCGCCCCTCGAACACCCTTTTAGGCATGGAAAATACCTCACCATCAATCTCATTCATGTTTTATTGGTTTAATGTTTCTGTCCTGCTTTCTGCATGTCTTATGCTTGTCTACCTCTGTTAGTCTTCCCGAATCAATCCTTTTTTTCAAAGTTTTAATTTAAATTCCAGTTAATTAATATACAGTGTAATATTAGTTTCACGTGTAAAGTATCAACCAATTCTTGATGTATAGAAAGAGGTACAGAACTGGAATTCAGATACAAATGAATGCTAACTAGAGGCTATTTTGATGATGACAAGAGCCTACCAGTAGTATTAGGCTCTTTAAGGCAATACGGGGGACCTCCAGGCTGATGGATGGGTCTGGCTGTCACTCTGGTTTCAGCCAGTTTCTTTTTTTTTTTTTAAGTTTTTATTTTAATTCCAGTTAGTTAACATACAGTGTTATATTAGTTCTGGGTATACAATATATATTGATTTAACACTTCCATACATCACCTGGTGCTCATCACAGCAAGTGCCCTCCTTAATCCACATCACTCATTTCACCCATCCCCCCACCCAGTCTGGTTTAGCCAGTTTCTGAACTAAGTATCAGCCAGACTCTGAATAAAGCATTGGTATTCATGTGTGCATTATTCATTCCACACGTGTGTATGAGTGTTTGCCATGCACTGGGTTCTGGGATAGGTGCTGGGATGTATTAGAGAACAAAATCCCCTGCCCTCAAGGGACTAAAAGTCAGTGGAGAAGCAATCAACTCTTCATACAAATAATAATACAGTGGGAAAGAGTGATAAGAAGTGTGGAGAAAAGGTAGAGGACACTATAAAGCATAAATGGAGGGACTTGACCTCATTCTACATATGCTGAGAGTTGCAAAATAGCTTTAAAACAAACTATTTGATGATAGTGAAGAATTATTACTTTTTAAAGATACGATAGTTGAATTGTATGTTTTTTAATTTTTTAAAGGGTTCTTATCTTTCAGAGATATACTCTGAAATATTTACAGTGAAAAGATAGGACATCTTGGATTAGTTTCAAAACAACGTAGGGATGGAGACTGGGAGTGGAGCCAAATTTTTCTTCTTGAAGCTGGGAGAACAGGTCCATAGGGTTCTCTCTCTGCTTCTCCCTCTTTTTATTTATGTTTGAAAAATTTCATAATAGGGCGCCTGGGTGGCTCAATTAAGCATCTGCCTCCGGCTCACGTCATGATCTCAGGGTCCTGGGATCAAGCCCCGCATTGGGCTCCCTGCTCAGCGGGGAGTCTGCTTCTCCCTCTCCCTCTACTGCTCCCCCTGCTTGCTCTCTCTCTCTCTTATAAATAAACTCTTTAAAAAGTTTCATAATAAAAAGTTAAAGAGAATCTTCAGCAGTACTAAATTGGATACTCACCAAATAGGAGTTATTTACTACATGAAAGTAGAAAGCACCCTCTTTGCTGTGTTTTGCTATGCCCTGATTTTCTCAGAATTTCCATGTGTTTTTATTTCTTCCCCTCTTTTTTCATACTCTTGCTCATTTCCTGTCTTTCAACCACCTTATGGTCTTCTCTTTTACTTGGACTAGATTCTTCTCTGCAGTAATTAGCAGAGGTGTATGGTTTTCTTACTCCCTTCCCCATTTCTTCCCTTTCCTCTCCCACAGACACTAAATTTAGTTGCCTTATTATCACAAATGCTCCTTGACTTCTTTCCCCTGCACGGTGGTGGTGAACAGAACCAGGTCTCTTACCCCTATTATGGAAATCAGAGAAGGGGTTGCATACTCGTACCCAAGCACTTCTGAAAGGTCTTTCTGCCTCCCCACGAACTATGTGTGTCAAAGCACGCTATTTGTCCACTTGTGCAAAAACTGAGACCACTCTGAGCATGGCAACCTAGGAACTCAGTAGTCGGGGAGGGGAGAATGAGGCGTATCTCATGTTTGGGTTCTTTTCCTAAGTGGATGTTTCGTTGTTTATATGGAAGGTTGAGCAGTCTTTGAATCCTAACAAGATCTTTCATATAGCATTCCTCCCACCTTTTTTGGAGAAGGTGAAACTGCTTTCATTTCTAACATAGTTATCTGTCCCCTAACTTCATTGAGAGGAGGAAGAGAGGCAAGTCACCTATCTCCATGCAAGCCAATTTGGTCACAGTGAGGATAAATACATTGTTCCAGGGCTCCTGGGAAGTCAGCAGAATGGCTAGGAGGGACACTTTTGCCTTATTTACCTGCTGGGGACATGAGGCTCCTACTGCTCACAGGCTTTCCTGAGGGTGTGGCAGGAGGGGCCTGCATTCTTGTCCCTATTGTTCTGTGCTGTTTACTTGCAGGATGTGTAAGCACAGCGTGTAATGTAATACCAGATGTTCTACGTGGGAGGAACTTCATAACTCACACACACACACACACACACACACAAGCGTGCTTTTTTCTAACGGCACCCAGCCCCTTCCATTGAGCACAACAATGTAAAGCTGCCTCCCAAATCACTACCAATTCCCTCACTCCTAAAGGAGGTACTGCCGGTCCTTTGGTATTTTTGGCTTTTAGCTAAAGAACACATGTGGATGTCTAGTGAAAGCATCATGTGGATTCTTATTTTTTAGATGGTTCCAATCAAAGTGGCCCAGATGGGTTCCGGATCATCTAAAAGCCACAGGCTCGCTGGCCTGGATTTCAAGGCCTCCACGCACTGGCAGGGACTCCACATTCAACCTCCCTCCCCACCCACCCAGCTGGTACCCTTTCTGCTGGATGGGCAAGCTGGCTCTCTCCGCCACAGACACTGTGCTCACCCTGCTCATTTAGGTTTCCCCTCCTGGAAGATCCAAACCCTGGCTGAGCTCAGGCCCTACCTCACTGACTTATCCTTGTCTACACCAGCAGGAGGCATGGCTTCCGTACCATGACTGCAGCACTTAAGGAGTGTGTGTGAGTGTGTGAGTCTGAGTGTGCGTATGCGTGTTTACGGGTCCTGTCCCCACACCCATCTACAAGATTCCTGAGGGCAGGAAGGGAACACTGCCTAGAGTTTTCTAAATTCCCTTTGGGGCCTAGGAATGGATGTGGACGGAGTGATTTGAACTTCAATTTCTCTTAAGAGCGGTCTCTTTGGTTTTCGCTTCTAATGGGCTCAGTTCCTTTTTCTACTCAGCCACGTGTGATCAATGCATTGAACTGACTGCATCAAGCAGAGAACGAGGCCTTATATTCCCTGGGCTGTCTCTGCTGGGGAGGTGGGCGCTATGGGTCTCAGTTTGTACTGTGCCAGGTGAGTGGTGACCCACTCACCGTTGCTGAAAGGCCTTCTGGCCCATCTCTCTGGCAGCTCTCTTCACCTCCTCGGGAACCGCGTCCTTCTCAGCCTCCGACACCTGGTACACAGTATGGCCTGCGTCCAGCCGGTATGGACCTCCTTTGCCGCCCAGACCTGCGGTGTCTCTTCCTCCTGGAAGGAAACCGTGAAAATCCAGGTGGTAAGTCTGATCCAGGCCGCAAGACAAAAGTCAGATCATGGCTTAAAAGCCATCCCGTGAAGCATGTTAACTGTACCTAATTAGTAATTAAATATTCAAATGACCTTCTTCTGGAAACAAAGGGTACCCCCCTGTTTAGGTGCCTTTTCTCTTCTCCATCCGCCAAAGTTTACCCATATTCCAAGGGTCAGTCCAAATCCCAGGACACCTCATCTGATAACTCTACCTCATAGGGATCACTCCTGGCCACTATTTACTACCCTTTAATATTTATTTTTTTCTTTTCTCACCAACCATATGATGGGTGGGATTATATCTTATATATTTTTATACCTTTGTACCTATAAGAGTGGCTTGAACTCCATGGATAACTTGGTACATATTTGTTAATTAAATGAGCAACACTCCTCGTCCCTCACATGTTACCTTATTTTTCCCTAAAATAAGAGAAAGACAGAGAGGATAGAGGATACAGTCAGCTTTGGGTACTGTCAGTTTCAGAACAGTTTTTCCAATATAAACCCAAGTCTGCATGCTTATAAGTGTACACTGTGCAATACTGCGTAAACTGTTTATGTTGTAAATATAAATTAAATGCCTGGAAGACCAGGTGAGGACCTTGGCTAGCTAGAGAAAGCTTGCCTTATCTCAATACATTCAAATTATTTTAAAATACTGTGTTGACCCCCAAAATACATATATTGGCTAGATTTGGCCCCGAGGCTACCAGTTTATTACCTCTTCTTTATAATGATTAAAATACTAGCAATCAGTTTCTTTCATTCATGCATACATAACTTGGGCACTTAGAAGAGAACTCAACATCGGAGAGAAAGTATCGTATCATATCATATCGTATACTAGTGTTATATAGCAGAGCATCGTACAGTTAAACTGGACTGCGTGAGTTTGCATCCTGCTCCCATACACTATGTGTGTGTCCTTGAAGGAAGTTCCTGAACTTCTCTGTGTCTCAGTCTCCTCAGCTGTAAAATGGAGATACTAATATGATTTACTTCTTGGCACTGTCATGAGGCTACGATGCTTAGAACAGTATCTGGTGCAAAATAAGAACTACCATGATTATTTAGACAACTTCCGGTCACAGAATGAGAATGAGGTCATTTCTAAGTTGCATAAAGTGGAAATTTTGAAAGCTTTTAGGTTTTGGTTAAATGATGTTACATTTATCTTTTCTCCCTTGGAGCCTTAATTGGTGTAATAAACTAAAAGTAAAACTCAGTATGCACTGCTTCCCTTACCAGGGTCCAGGCAGGTCACTTCCTTTTGGGAAATACCACGAGAACAACCTATTAATGATCATATGTTTACCCTTCGATTTGAGCACATCTGATTTCACTCTTATTTAGAAATTGGGGGTGGAAAACTCCTTCTTAGACGTGTGTGATTCCTGGCTCTCACTCAGGGACAGCCTGGAGGCAAAGAGGACCAGGAACTGGACAATGACAATGAGCTCCAGAGGCAGAAAAGCTGTTTCTGTGACCCGATTCCCTTCCTATAGGAAGTTCTTCTTAGGCATGGGTGGGTCACAGATTCAAGTGGAACACTTCCTGGGTGCTGAGGTAACATCAGTCTTGGTGAAGAGGAAAGTACCCACAACTGTTCAGAGGCTGGTATGAGCGAGGCTCAGCATGAGTCACAGGAACCCTCGGGAAGGTTGCACCAGGGTGAAGAGGGCATGAGCGGGGAGCTCTTCATGACCTCTGCTTCTGAGAGCCTTTAATTTGTACTACTTAGGGCGCCTGGGTGGCTCAGATGGTTAAGCATCTGCCTTTGGCTCAGGTCATGATCCCAGAGTCCTGGGATCGAGCCCCACATCCGGCTGCTGACTCAGCTGGGAGCCTGCTTCTCCCTCTCCCTCTCCCCCTGCTCGTGCTCTCTCTCTCTCTCCCTCTCTCTCTCTGTCTCAATGAATAAATAAAAAAAAATCTTAATTTGTACTACTTAAATGAAAATGCTGGTCAGAGGTTCTAGACTTCAGGGCATAATCTTGAAGCTAATCCTGGACACCCTAAATCAGCTCCGAAGATATGGGAGAACACGCAAGGGAGGTGCTCTGATGATGAAAGAGGGATCAAGTGACTTGGGTCAGACTAAGTTCCACATAGAGAATTCTGAGGGAGAATGACAGACATAAAAAGAATTTGAAGTAAAAAAGATTCGATAGAAAAATAAAGGCCGAGGGAAACAAAAACATCGTCTTCAGTCTGGACAGAGGTGAGCTAGTAGATTCAAATGGAATAAAAAGCGAGAATCTCCGCTCCAGAGTAGTCCACCGCTGGGAAAAACCTACATCTGGCCAACTCGTTCCACAATGCATTCCATATGGATTAAATCTTGCTGGTTTGACACTAATTTCAAGATCAAAGGACATTTCTAAAAATATGCTTTCTTTAAAGCTGATGCTTGATGAATAAACAGAATAGGCAAGAAGTCTCCAGGCCTATTTGATAGCACATTGTCTCAGCACAGAAACCCATTTCCTCCCGAGGCTGTCAAGGCCAAGAGGCACACAGCGTCCTCGGGGAAGGTGAAGCACGGAGCCCGTACCAGAGCGGCTCATGGCCGAGATACGATCAGACAGTGCCCACACAGTCTGGCCCTATTCCTGCAGCCCAGCAGATGTGTGTGCCCCAGCGGCCGCAGGAAAGAGGAAGACAGCAGTCATGGGAACAATGCTCCTGTCAGGCAGCCAAGAGGAAGGAATGGACCAGAGCCATCAGTTCAAACTGCAGCCCACTCTCTTATCTCAAAACCCTGCATCCTCAACATACTCAGATGGGGAAGGCAAAGCCCATTTCTCTTCCAAGTCGGCTGGTCAAGAAAGAATTTACGATAGATTCCTGGCGTGATCCCAATTTAAAAGAAGGGCTTAACTTTTTTAACGAACACATTCTTCAGACCAGGTCGTGTGCTCAGCACTTTATAATCACAAGTTCATGTAATCCACACCACAACCTTGTCAGGCAGCTAATATTTTCCCCTTTTCCTGATGTGGAAATGCTGGGAGTGTCAGAACTGTCTTTGGTCCCAGGGTGGCAGAGTCTGTGGGACTCCAAATGCCAGTTTTTCCATGTCTTGACGTCATGCCGGGACGCAGGGCAAAAGTACAGAACAGCTGACTAACGGGGGAGGCAGAGAAGGCAAGTGGTCCCTGAGCCTTCTCAGGGGGGTGTGTGGTTTCCGCAGGCTCGGGAAGTCTCGGGACGCTCGACCCAGGAGGATGCCCGTGCTACCAACCTGTTCCGCCAGCCCACGTATTGCCGCCCACATGGGGCATGTTCTTTGGGTCCTCCTTCCCGTGTTTGGGGGAGCTCACGTCTTCACCGCTGTCTCTGTTGACTGTAATCTACAAATGAAGAATTGAGACATTATCACTCTCTCATGACCAACACCAGAAACTGCAGGACAGAAAGAAGAATTCTTTTCTCCTAAATCCTTAAGGTATCTTATAACCTCAGGCCACAGGACACAACAGATGCTGTTAGTGTCTGGCAAAGAATTTTATCAGAGTTAACATCCATTTGGTTGGGAAGGAGACATTTAATTTTTTTAAAAATTCCTTAAAAAGAAAAGAAACTAGACTGAGTTACAGTTTCAGAATTTTCCTGGTGCAGATCCTGCCTCAAGCGTTTACACAAGGAACACCACCTACCAGAAGCAGGGAGAGTGGATCTCACCAGAGACCGACACTCTCTAAACAGTTTAAAAGGATCACTGCCTGGCTGTTCCAGCTGAGTAACAGCAGATATACATCTACCTATTTAATTTTTGAAGAAATCCCAGTCTTCTGAGAAATACTTTGTATAAAATAGATGGAAAAGAAAAATAGAAAATGTATCTATGTATGCTTCAGTGACAAAGTTATACACACAGACACGAAAGACTGCTTATTTATTTTCCGGACCCTCTCTAATTTTATTATGGTATTTTGTAGCTTTCCTAATTCAGCTTTATTTTAAAACTGGAGTTACCGTTCCTGCAATGGCAAACAGAATAAGCTGCATTTTAGCCCTCCTCTGTGAAAGCCTGTGGCTCACTGGTCCCTAATTTCATTCAGCACAGATTCACCAAAATGACTGGTAATCACCCAAGAATTCCAATCCTACTAAGTTAGTTCAGTAGATATCATTCCACAATAAAAAGAACTCAAAGCAGTCCCACTTCATGAATCCTATGAGCCGGCTGTCAAATGTAATGATTTTCAGTGCAGACCAGATCAAATATCCATTTATTTGTCCAGTAAGACTTATAGATGATGTACTGGGAGGACATCATACGAAGTACCACGGGGCCTACGAAAGCCATAGAGGATTGGTCACTGCTCTCTAACTGCTGAGGGTAGAGCAGGGCGCTTGCAGATGGACCAGAAGCCAGATGCCAGATCAGTTTTTAGAGCTGACCCACTCCTTGTTAGTGCCTGGACTTCATTCTGGATGTTGGATTAATGAAGGTAGGCAAGTAATTTGCAGTCTTTGCAAATAAAATGGCTATTAAGAATGAATTCAACAATAAAAAAAAGAAATAAAAAATAAAAAAATA